TAGTATACACACAAAAAAAGCAGCCATGGCTTGAGAACCTTCCTCAGCACAAAATTTACTGCATAACCGTTTTATATAGCTTTGATCGTCTGATACAGTTCAAAAACTGTATTCTATTTTTAAATATAGCAAATGTTTATTCTCTCAAACAAACGAAAAAACAACAACCAAAAGGCTTAAAAACTCGCATCTACCAGCGATGACGGAGCTCGAATTTCTAGTCTTAAAATATAGTCTTAGGAACTTGATGAATGCTGTTTTAAATACGATAAAAGTTATTTCAAACCGGACAACACTATCGAATTTCAACTACAATATATATTGTTGTAGTTGATAACATTTTATTTTATTTTTTTTATTTAAATTATTGTGAAGTTTAACGGAATAAAAACAAAAGAGGCCACTTAATTACTTCGACACTCAAATGAACTTCCAACTGGAATGAAACATATTCTGACATATAATTTGGAATAAGAATTTGTACGCATAACAAAAAAAAAGTAATCAACTTTTTATTTTATGGTGTCCACATACAATGTTAAGAACTGATTAAATAAATCACTCAGTTTTTATGTAAAGTACATACAGGAAATTTATTGCAATGTTAATGGTAATTTTTTCATGTGATCAATATGTTAATAGACACCCTGACTCTGTATTCAAAAAGATCATGGAATAGCGCGCGAGTGCATAAATAGTTCAGAAAATTAGGCTTAAAAAGACGAGAAGTTAATAGACCCCATCCGGAATTCTAGGATTAAATTTGCTAATGTTCTCAATCCATATATTGTATAGCATTTAATTTAATTTAACTATGTGTTTCTGTAGGAGTCTCATCTCCCCATTTGGCCTTGTACAGTGAAGAAAATATGTTTTAATTGAACACATTTGATGGTAAAAAGTATACGTTGTTCTACTAAATATGGTATTTTTTGTTCGTTAATGTTATTTCGTGCATGACTTTCAAGGAATCTTCCAGGGTTTCGAATATGTTTGTAACCTTGTTAGTTTCTTTCAAATTAGACTATGTTTAGCATTTTCCGACGTTCCGGAGTAACGCCGTCAACTCAGATGTTAGTTTTCGAGTTCATTACATAAGCATTATTGCCCGAGTAAAGTCTGGTAAACTTGTATTCGTGCACTCATGCATAGAGCTTT